CTTTTGTCTTTGTTCCAGTCTCTTCACTGCCAACGTCTGATTCCTCAGCTTATGGACTAAATGGCTCACAAGTTTCCATATTCCTATGGCTCCCTTGACTCAAACAGTTACTTAGCACAAAACCTTAAAATGAACGAGGTGGTCCCTTATTCCTAAGGCAACCAGCAATGTTGTTTCCACAACACTACCTTCCCCTTCTGGTTAAGCTATCTGAAATTCCTTCCTTATGGAAGTTCTTTTTTCAGTATGTGTTCAATTTCCATTGATACACAATGAATATAGCTTACTTAACCAGAGAAATACACAAGCTCAGTACAAAAGTTTTGAAAATAAGTCTTTAAGAAACTTGCAGTTTTTCGTCCCACAGATAGTTTAGCCCATGACTAATACTTTAAACATAATTATTCTGGACTGAAATCCCATAGACTCGAGATTTAGTTCAGAGATAACGAGTGGAAATGAGAGAAATAACACTTATATTTAAATGGAAACAACTTAGGTTACAACAAAATAGAAAGTGGAGAAGATGGTTGTTGCTCGTGAGGAGTCTCAAGTGGGTGATACAGAATAGAGAAGAAGTGTTGTCACTTAACTACAACAAACTATACAAAAGAAAAACTACAAAATAAACTAAGTGATCTCTTTTTAAGGAATTCGATTCTTTTCTTCGTGCTGGAACGTCCTATTTATAGGCAGAAGAGTGAATGACAAAGTGAGTAATTCCCTTGGAGTTATTTTCTTGACTGCATGAAAGGGGCGGTGTGAACAATGCTTTGAGGGGCGCAAGTGGCTGGATGAGACAGTTATTGTTGTTTCCCTTCTGATCATCTGCATGCCTTGCTTTCCTCTTTAGCCAATAGGAACCGTTTATTCCCTGCTGCACACGTTTCCTCTTGCTTGATTGCTGCACCTCTTATGCTTTATGGAAACTTCTTTTCAACATTTCCCTCAGAGTGGTCAGAAATATTAAATGAGTTGAGTAAGCGTATTTAATGTTCCCAATCCGTTCCCCTTTTTATATATTTTTCAAAGGATTACGTCACCATCCGTTTCCTATTGTGTTTTTGTCATAAAGATATGAAACATGTGCTTTTATGCTAAAGTTGCTCATCAGATGAGGGAACAGATGGTATTTTGCCATCAAAATGGGCTTAGATGGGAACAAATTTTTGTCCCATCAGCCCTCAAGAGGAAAGCTCTGATACCATGAAGAAATCTTAAAACAATAACTTAAGAAAAAAAAGAGATAGCATACACAAAAGACTGTATTGTTCATTGTAGATATTCAGCTCTACACCAGAATACTTATACCAGATGAGCATAAATACAATAACAACTAATCTACCAACTAACAGAGTTAATGCTACTAATAACTAACACAACAATAAATGCAAAATCTGATAGATAGGTTGAACATAGCTTCCTAGAGAAGTGCATAAGAAAGTGGCAGACAACTAGGCTAATTATGTCGACTTTAATATAGTTGAATATCAACAAGTATGACACATAAACATGTCCAAACGACTTATTATATTTATAGATATTATTTTGCAGAAATAAAATTTTAAGTTTATTCTAACCAAGTTTGCTTTCAAAGAGCGATGTTTTGCCCAGTTTTGAGTATAAAGTACTTTAATTATGAGGTTTTGAAAATAAGTTGAATGAAGAACCATGATAATATATTTGTTGGGAGTTAAGGATTAAACGTAGAAGTCATTATTTAACCTCCTCTACAACATAATTAATTAATCCTTATTTAATCAAATTATAATAATCATCATTAATTTTTTTAATAAATAATTCAAAATATAACAAATAATTACCATAATAATTATTATGTACATATAATCAATATGAAACCACTTAATCTACATAATATGTTACCATAAAAATCATGTTATCAATCTTATAATATAACCATTCATAAAGAATAATAATTAAATAGCCTTAATCTATGATTTTCCTACGAGAGAAAAATAAAATAAAATAAAAAATCAATATTTCAGCCTAAAATATGTTAGGGTAATAGTTTTCTACTGTTATAGGAGGAAAATTTTGTCTCTTGTTGACACAATATATGGGTGGGTCCCACTTTGAAGAGAAAAGAGAAAAAAATAAAGTGAACCCACCTATAAATTGTATCAGCTGGATACAAATTTCTTCTCTTGTAATAGGAGAAAACTATTACCCAATATTTTATGGCTTGTTCTTTTTTTTTCTCCTTCCATCTTGTGATGTTTGTTGGGATTCTAAAAAGTCACCAGATTCATCGGAATGTGCACAAATAGTTGCAACATTGTTCTCGGGTGATGCAATTTTAAGTATCTTTTGCTACAAAATGTATTGTAAACTTAAAATAAATTAAGGGAAAAACCTAATCTTATAGCTAGCCTCATGTTACAAATCCAAAAAAAAAATACAAGCAAAGTTGTACGTGAATTAAAGCCAAAATCCATAATTAAATCATTCGTTAACAAAAAGTATATAAACAACACCATAATTTATGCAATCCAACAAAATGAACAAATATAGAGATATAGGTGCCACAATTATGACAAGACGAAGGGAAGTCTATGATAAGGGAGAATTACCACAATAAGTGAACCCAACACCATATCTTCACCAAAAGCCTTTAGCCAGGATTTATGAAACATTTCACTTATATGGTTCTCATTTGATCTATTCTCATCGAGTGTGAGACTCCATATACTTTAATTTCCAACAATCTTCTCTCAAGTGTGAAATTCAACACTAGTATGTTTCTCTCAACGAAAGAATCATAATAGACTTTAGCTACACCACACATCAAGATTTTGCTTTTAAAATGGTGGATTTCATTAATCACCATTTTTCTTGCATAACAAGCATGTATGTTGCTTGTGGAGAACCATAATTGAGTTTCATAGAAAATACCAAACCTAAAACACTACTCCTTCACCACTGCAAGGTCCAAGTTTCATCCCCTAAATAGCTAATTTGCCACCATATGACTCACAAGTGCACTTCAGCCTACATCTCAAGCTAAAGGTCATGGATTTGAGTATTCTTAGGTGTTTTAAAAAGCTAAGAGGCATATCTACAACTTTGATGTACAGTTCCAAGCCAAATCTAGAGTTGAAGGAACTCAGCTCCAAGTTATCACATGGATGCTATCATATAATTTGATCTAGCTTCACTATTTTGGTTATAACTTCAGCTACACACCATATAATTGGATGTTTAACATTGATAAAAACTTAGAGACATGGTTTTAGAGTTAAAAGACCTTAAATTGAATTTGAAGATACTACAACAATTTTATCACAAAATCTGGCCTAGTTTCTTATTCTTTGTCATAAGTGGAGCTACAGAAATTGGAATTGACCATTATTTAGTTTTTCTTAGAAAACTAAGGCTCAAGCCTATAACTTTTATGAAGAATTCAAAATATAATTTTGGTATTAGAGTAGCGGAAGATGGGCTTAACGTTAGTACAATGTTCTATTATATGATTTGGTCTAGTTTTAGTATTTTGATCATATCATGATCTAGATTCCATGAAATTTTAAATTCTGTAGTGTTCCACAAACTTTAAAAAAGAACTACAATTTTGATGAAGACACCTAAAGCTAATTTGAATGTTAAAAGACCCTAAACGGAGCTCGAAGTTAATGCAATGGTGTTGTTACGTGATTCAATTCAGTTCTCATTTTTTTTTCATGGGTTGTATAATATTGGAAGAAGCATTGATGGAAATATAATAGTGGTAGCAATGAAATATAGATAATGATGTCATACCTCATAAGCAATGCTCAACAGGTCCAAAACTATAATATGTAACAAAATGTATTGATTGAAACTCGAGATTACATTTACTACTAATAATAATAATATCCTTGGACAACAGGAAGAAATTGATGTTGCACACAGGAATAGTACGTTGTGCAAGATTCAATTTCTCAAATTGTTTAATTAGTGGACAATCTTGGAGTTTTTTTTGTTGGCTTTGGATTTTTTTATGGACCGTATAAGGGGCCAGTAAGTGACATGCCCAATAAGGGGCTATCTAAGATATAAATCTAATGTAATCACGGATAGATATCCATCAAGGATATTAATCCTAGTATGATAGCATAGCAAGCAGGTCTGGGCCCTTATAAGAGGCACCAAAGGCCCATTCGCACTACCCACATGAAACCTCTATAAATACAAGGTAAACCCTAAAGGTACGTCACACTCTTTCTCTTACTGTTATGTTGTCACTGTGCGCACACACACACCCCATTGGCTTACGCCGTTAGTAGTACTCCATGCACAGTGATCTGCTTAACTCAAGGATATCTCTTCCATAGATACCTTGGAGAGGGCACTAGATCCAAGAGTAACATACCAGCCTATTAGGCTGGACATCTCTATCTCAAGGACAGAATATTGGCGCCGTCTGTGGGGAATTCCTAAACTTGGAGTTTGATATTCCCACGAATCTGACTAAGGATGGTAGTCCACACAAGGAGCAGTAGCCAGCAGCCACCCCAAAACTAGAATCAACCGCTGGATCCAGTTCTGGAAGAGGTGAATCAGCCTCAAAACCAGCCTGAAAACGATGTGGATTATGATCACATCCATATCAGCGAGGACGTATCAGATACAACCTCCACTCTAGTGCGGCTCCAATTCTGAACAACCCCCTCAAACATCCTGGGGAGTTGGCTGCCCATGTTGCCTAGTCCGCCGATCCTGACTCTCGGTTGGCTCAAAATGCGTTTGCTGCAATTTTGCAGCGAATGACAGAGATGAAGAATCATAATAATCTCCAGCGACAACAATACTTCCAAAGAATACAAGAGGAGAATACCAGGAGAATGTGAGATCTGGAACAACGCTTAATAGGGGTGACTGGACCAGGGGCGAGAGGAACCGAAGGCCAGGATGCCAATGGCCAAGAAGGAAATCGCAACTCGGATCATCAAAACCGGGTTATTGAGGTGGAAAACCGGGAAAGGCCTAATCCGGTGAGCACGATGAACCCGAACCTGGAGAACCTGACAATGGGTGACCAGAACGCTGCTGTGCAGGCCCTGACTCAAAATGCTTCGATAGAAGCAAATGGACAGAGACACCGGAATGGAATCCACCCCAACCAGAATGCACAGATCATCAGAGGACGCGTGGAACCTGGTGCCTACAGAAGAAAATATAGCAGGGGGCAATATAATAATAGCCCCTTCACTGGGGAGATTTTGAATGCTTCCTTCCCAGAAGATTTTGATTCGGTGCGATTGCCGAAATATGATGGAAGTCAAGACCCACAGGTCCACATCGATGCTTTTGATACGGACATGTACATCCGAGGGATACATGAGTCCCTCATATCTTGGATATTTTCCATAACTTTGACTGGGGCTGCACATGTATGGTTTGGATAGGTAGAAAACGTAAAAGTGAGAAATTAGCTAAGTGAGTTTATGGGAACCCCTTAGTGATTTGTATTAAGTAAAATAAGATATAAAAATATTTTAAACAAGTATTCCGCAAGATTTTACAGTTATGGTCACAACTTTTATTTATTACGCTTTTTACGGTTTTAAATGCTCGCGTAATAAACGGAAAAAGTTTACTCGCATTTTTATAAATGAATTGTTGTGATTGTAACTGCGCTTAATATCATAATTAATGTTAACTATACCGGTGTACAACAGGCTGTTACAGATGAGCTCCTCATATCTCGGATATTTGCCATAACTCTGACTGGGGCTGCGCAGGTATGGTTCTCTACCTTACCTGCCAACTCCATTGGGTCCTTTGAGGAATTTGGGGAGAAGTTCCTCTTAAATTTTGCGACAAGCAAGAAACATCCCAAATTCGAGTTCGCAATTGGAAAGATACGTCAACAACCCGGAGAAACTCTCCAAACATACGTCAACCGATTCAAGGATGCTGCATTGCAGGTACCAGGTTTACAAGAGAATGAACACGTACATCTCATTGTGGTTGGCTTGGATGGAGCATCCAGGCTAGCTAAGTCCGTTTATAAAGACCCAGTGAGGACGTTGGATGAATTCAGAACCCGTTCAAAGAAGTACCTCGAACTCGAGCAAATGGAGATTGCAAATGCGCAATTTGAAGAAGGTAAAAGAATTAGCCCGAGAAGGAGGAACCCGATCCTGAAAGAAAAAGAGCGAACTGGTAATAAGAAGAAAGACTCTAAAACCAGAATCCCAGATGGCTGGGACCGGATTGGAAGATACGAGAAATACACACCGTTGAATGCTTCACGCTCTCAAATCTGGAGGGAAGTGGCAATGACGGAGATGAAGAAAGTAGAAAGACCCTGGCCCATATTCGACAGAGGAGGTTTGGATAAGTCCAAGTATTGTGCTTTCCATGATGGGCCGGTTCACACCACTGATCAATGCTAGTATATCCGAGATGCTGTGGAGAAATTTGTTAGAGATGGAAGATTACGCCAGTATGTGATCAAAATCTAGGGTTCCAAAAATAACAAAAGGAAGTCTGCAAACCGAAAGAAAAGTAAAAGCCCGGTCCCTGAAAAGAAAAACAAGGATGAAAGTAACCAGAAAGATGATTCCAACCATGATGAATTCCCGAAAGCGGAATTTGACTGTAACGTAATTAGTGGAGCCCTTGGAGGAGGAGGGGACACTGTAAGTGCCAGAAGAAAGTATCTGAAGGAGGTCCTTTCTATCAGGGATCATCCCAAATTTAAGGAAGACCTTAGCAAACCAGACCCTCCTCAGTTGTATTTCACAACGGAAGACATGCATGGTGTTTTGTCGGGACACGTAGACGGATTAGTCATCGCTGGAACCTTGGTAAACTGCCGAGTTAAGAAGATTTCATCGATGCAGGAAGTAGTGCCGACATTATACTGTGGGATGCCTTAAAAAGATGAACCTTGATGAGGAGGACCTCAAACCTTGCAAAACAACCTTGATAGCTTTTAACGGAGAGCATACACCTCTTAAAGGCTATATAGACCTCAGGTTGACCCTAGGAACAAAGGAAGCGCTTAAATCAGAATGGGTCAGATTCATAGTGGCCCATTTCCCATCAGAATATAATATTATTCTGGGGAGACCAACCATACACCAATGGGACATGCTGGTCTCTACAAAGCACCAGAAGATAAAGATGATAAGCAGCAAGAACGAAATAATCACTGTTTGTGGAGATCAAAAAGAATCCAGAGGATTCTACTTTGACACTGTCAAAGAGAATGAAGGCGGACATTCGAGTCCTCCCCGGATTCATCCGAGGGTCAAACTCGGCAGGAAGACAATTCCTCACCAGTCAAGGAAGCCTGTTAACGTGGTTGAACTGGACATGAGAGAAGAAGTAATCCCGAGGTCTGAGCCCGATGGAGAGTTAGAAAACCTCATATTGGGGGAAGAACCTGGTCAATTTACCCAAATTGGTAAGACTATAGATACTCAAGTCAAAGAAGAATTAGTCGGGTTCCTCAAAAGTAACACAGATGTATTTGCCTAGAAATCATCAGAAATCCCTAGCATAGATCCTGCCTTCTGCTGCCACAAGTTGGCAGTTTTCCCTGGATCCATGATGTTTCCCGGCAAGTGTACCGATCGCACAAGTATTATAATGATAAGAAAAGTATCATCTCCACAGGGATTGTGATCGAATATCAAATAATCGTTCTTTTTAAGACGGAAAGAATTCAAATAGATGTGAAAAATATTGTGGATTTGAGTAACAATAAGAACTAAGATAAAGGCGTATTTTTGGATTTTTGTTATGAAAAATAAAACAGAGATTGATTTTATAAAATATAAGAATGCATTGTAACTAGAGTGCACTCACCATATGATCCTCGCTTTTTACTCTGGATTGATTTAAAAATACTCATTTAAATAAATACTCAGATAATTCATCATCTAAAAATATCAAGTAGCTAACCCATAATTCCTTGCAAGGTTAACCCTTTAACCCCAATTGGAACCCCAATTCCTTGTAATGTTCCTCATAAAATTAAGCAATGAACGCGATAAATTAAAACATCTGCAATAATATATACGTCTATTCCTAGCACACATACAAATTGTTATCCTACTCCCTTTCAAGATCAAAAACCCCAATATTCCTATCTAGGGTTCTTACCCTCAAACTATCATCAACTATTAGATTGATCAATTCTAACAAAGAAGATAGAAATTACGCACAGAGTAGAGATAAATATAAGTATATAAAAGAGTAATTATAAATCAATCTGTTGTAACAAGGGTTCAGATAGGGTTTGTGACCCTAACTACAATAAAGAGTACTAGCCAACCATGATCATGGCTGACATAAAATTATAAAAGATAAAGATGGAAGAGTGTAATTACAAAAAGAATACTAAGAACAATCCTCTGTTCCTCTCCTTCTTCTGGAATCCTTGTTTCTCTCTGACGTCGAAAAATGTCTTGAATAAACCCTCACAGCGTTCTTTTTATAATCCTGGTTCACTTCTTCCAAAATTGCCCTTTCAGAACACGGTGATTTTTCTCATAAACTGGCGTGGGATCACGCCACTTCTCTGGAACGTAGGCCTGCAACCTAGCTGGCGCAGGATCGCGCCACAATGGCGCCAGATCGCGCCACTTCTCTGGTAAGTGGCCCAGGTCTTCACGGTGCAGCTCAGAACCCACGCCCGTGCAGATTCACGCTAACAGTCTTTTGAAATTTCGTTTTCTCTTTCTTTCTCCCTATATAAACATAACAAATAGGTGAGAAATATCATTGAAATGGAAAAGTCAACATAATAAGCAAATATGTAAATAAACTGCTCTTTTATGACTTAATCCTTATCATTTTTAGCTTGGAAAACTACATATGCAGAGGCACATTAATCCGCATCGGTTTCACAAAAGAAAAGGAAGTTGGGACCAGAGAGAAAACAAGTCCTGGAGGAACACGTGAAGGAGTTGCTAGATGCCGGGTTCATTCGGGGAATACAATATACAACATGGCTTGCAAACGTTGTGATGGTGAAAAAACCAAATGAAAAATGGAGAGTCTGTACTGATTATACGGACTTGAATAAGGTCTGCCCAAAAGATTCCTACCCTATGCCTAACATAGACCAGTTGGTAGATACCTCGGCTGGATTTCGATTATTGTCTTTCATGGATGCTTACTCGGGTTACAACCAGATTCCAATGTACCTAAAGGATCAAGAAAAACCGCCTTTATTGCTGAAAAGGCCAATTACTGCTACAATGTGATGCCATTTGGGCTTAAAAACTCAGGGGAAACTTATCAAAGGATGATGAATAAGGTGTTTGAAGACCAGCTGGGTAAAAGCGTAGAAGTATATATTGATGATATGATTGTGAAGTCATTTGATATGACAAATCATGTCCGGGATCTTGAGCAGACTTTTCAGAAGCTCAAGAAGTATCACATCCATCTAAACCCGATAAAATGTGCGTTTGGAGTATCGGTTGGGAAGTTCTTGGGTTTCATGTTAACCCATAGAGGGATGTAAGCGAACCCTTACAAGTGCAAAGCAGTACTTGATATGAAGGTACCCCAAAATAAAAAGGAAGTTCAGCAATTAACTGGTAGACTGGCTACACTAACCCGGTTCTTACCAAAGTCTGCTGAGAATGCCCTCCCATTCTTTATATTATTAAAGAAGGAAGCAATGGAAGGATGGAATCCGGAATATCAAGCCGCGTTCGAAAAGGTCAAGAAATGCTTGGCAACCCCACCAGTGATGTCAAAGCCAGAACAAGGAGATACTCTGATCCTGAATCTGGCTGTGGGGGAGGAGGTAATAAGTGTTGTCCTAATCAAGGAAACCGATAAAGGCCAAGAGCTGATTTATTTCATCAGTAGCACCTTGCAAGGTGCAGAGGTCAGATATCAAAAGCTAAAAAAGGTGGCCTTCGCCTTGCTGATCACGGCTAGAAGATTGCGGCCATATTTTCAGGGACATCAGATAATAGTCCGGACTAATAAGCCTATACGGCAAGTGTTGCACAAGCCGGACCTAGCAAGAAGAATGGCTAACTGGGCAATTGAGCTCAGTGAATATGACATAACATATGAAAGTCGAAAGGCCATCAAGTCGCAAGCTCTGGCCAACTTCATAATGGAACTAACATCGATGAACCCGAAACATAATGAATTTGGGGATACATAGAAGGTTTATGTAGATGGATCCTCCAACGACAAAGGAAGTGGAGCTGGAATCATACTCGAAAGTCCAGAAGGAGTGACAATAGAACACTCCTTGAACTTGGGCTTCCCAACTTCGAACAATCAAGCAGAGTATGAAGCTTTGATAGCCGGATTAGTGCAGGCTAAAGAACATGGAGCCATGAAGGTAAAAATCTTCAGTGACTCGCAACTGGTGACTTCACAGATAGAAGGAAAGTATCAGGCCAAAGGTCCTCTATTGGTGAAATACCTGAACAAGGTTCAAGAGATGATGGCTGACTTCGATGAAGTGCAAGTTACTCACATTCCTCGAGGGGAAAACTACCGAGCTGATATCTTGTCTAAATTGGCAAGTACCAAAAATTCAGGTAACCTCAGAACCGTGGTACAACAAAGCATAACTATGCCGAGTTGCGTGATGATCATCACCTCGGTAAATGACTGGAGGCAACCCATAGTGGCATACTGATAAACCTTTGGTTTACCATGTTTTTAGGCTAAAATATACAAGAGTTATGTAGTAGAATGCATGGAATTCAAGGTTTTACGACATATAAAGCATAAGATAGGAAATTGAGCTGACGTTTTGATAATATTTGCATTTTGAAGGTAAAACCACAAGAAATGGTGCTAAAAGTGCTAAAGAAATCATGACGAAGAAGTAGCGGCTCAATATGAACCAAGGGAAGCCAAAATCTTAAGAGTTAAGAGCTAGAAAAGCACGCTCAAGCGCACAAGAGGACGCTCGAGCATTTGGAAGCAGGAAAAACAGCCAAACTGGGCACAACAGGATGCTCAAGCGCACATAAGGACGCTCAAGCGCCCAAGAAGACATAATTTCAGACTCGAGGAGCATGCTCGAGCGCCCATTAGCACGCTCGAGCGCGCTCAGGCAGGCATCAACATCAATTTTAAGCAATTTGGCACGCTCAAGTGGCCAACAGCGCGCTTGAGTGCCCAAGCATGTTCCAGACAGCAAAGACTGGCTGAGCTTTAATGAAGATTTGCCAGATTGCGATATCCCGAACCAAAATGGAAACAAATCAAAACTGATTTAAAGGAAGTCATGGAGGATTGAAGCAGGATTATAACAAGATTCAAAGCTCAAATCTATCAACCAATCTACAAGATATTAATTGCAAAAAGGAAGTAATTGAAGAATCAATTACAAATCTGATAAGGATTCGTTGAGAGATACAATGAAGATACAACTCCAATGGCTATAAATAAAGAGCTT